GCTTGGAGAAGTGCCGATCAACGTCCAGGAGCAGGAATCCATCCTTCACAGTATGAATTCCGCGTCTGATTCTGCTTTTGCTTCTTTCTCCATGGAGTAGTTCTCCCATTCATCTGGGTATGGAGAACCCTAGATTTGTATGTTAGGTTTGATTGTATGAACCCAAGTACTGATTCTATGATTTGATTATATTCAATTGAGGTTTGAATGATTGAATGGCATGAATCCTGATCAAATTCCTGTTGTTTCTGCTTTAACCTAGAATGAGAATATCTGCCTAGGTTGATAGAGCATCCTTGATTGAAGGTAGGGAGTTGGTGACTTTAGTCGAGGAGCCAACTCACTATTCTGTACCGAATTTACTTCGGTAGTGGAGGTTTTGTTCGTTAGGGCCTCAATCTGTTTACTCCGGTGGAGGTTAGTCGCCCGCTAGGGACTCAGATTGAGAGGGTCTGAAGACCTTTAGTTGAGACTTTAGGCTGTTTAAGAACCTTCCGCAGTATAACTATCATAGAAACGGAACTTGGTAATTGCATTCTGGCTTAACTGCAGTCTAGGGGGAACCATATCCGGGTGACCTCTCTTAACCTGAATACAACCGTTTACTTGCTTTGCTTGTTTGTTTGCACTAAAGTTTCATTGCTAGATGACAAGAATTCACCGAGTAGTCATCAAATCTAGGACCCGGGTTGACATTAAAACCCAAACCCGCTATACTACGCCTTAGGAAGTGGTTACACTTGGCCAATTCCTAGGGTGACAGTAGAAGTGAGTCAGGTTTCTAGTGAGAGATTAGGGTTTCCCCTTCCCATTCTAGAGGGAGAAAGTGATACTCAAAGGAGGAAGAAAGAGATTGGGCTCAATTCAAGCTAGGGGATTGAAGATTTCTTCTTCTCAAGGGAGATTCAAGCAACAAGGGAGGAAGATTTCCACCTCTCCATGGTTCTCTCTTCTTTTTGTTGTTTTCCTTTGCCTAGCCATGGATTAGCCTACCTATTCACTTGGGTGTTTGTAAACCCTAGCTATAATTATGTGAATGCTTGTATGAATTGAATGATTTGTGTGTGGTTGTGTTTTAATGTGAATGTGGAGATATTATTTAGAAATGATTGTGTTGTGTGATAACCTATCAATCTAATTGACATTCTAACCTAGCTTAAAGAGGAGACTTCCTTAGGTTAGGAGAAAGAGGCTCAATATTGAGATGGGGTTCTTGGGCATTTCATGCCTCCTAGGCTAGTTTAGAGAGGAATCCTCCTTCACCCAAGAGGTTCGGTTTCCATGGGCATCAACGCCTCCTAAACTAGTTTAGAGAGAACCCTCCTTAAGCTAAGAGGCGCATTCGAGATGGGTTTCCTTGGGCATTCAATGCCTCCTAAGCTAGTTTAGAGAGAACCCTCCTTAACGCCTCTATTAGAGATGGGATTGCTTGGGCATTCTATGCCTCCAATTCTAGGTTAGTTAGAGGGAAAACCTCCTAATTCGCATTAGCACTTAGGGTTTGGTTGTGGGTGGCCGTCCGAACTCCAATTCGAGGGTGAAGTCTAACCATTCGTATCCCATTCCTCAACCTAGAGACTAAGAGGGTAGCTTTGGCTGCTTGTTAGACTTCCCTGCGGTTTATGACCCCGTAACCACACTCGGTCATTTGATTCTTCAAGTCATAATTGTTAGTTAGGGGGGGGGGGGCAACACCCGAGTGAAATCTTTTCTCATTGGGACAACATCGATTTACTTTATTTGCTTGTTTCCATTTGTAGGTTTATAGTTTTAAACTAAAAAACATTTGCTAGATAACAAACTAGGTGATTGAAGTAGGGGTACATGGACCGGCCCGGGTTTGACAATTTTTAATTTGCCCTATACTGCACTCGGCTAGAGTTTAAAAACTTGGGGTCTAGTCGGGATTAATTCGTGGTGTAGTTTTGTGCGAGTCAATATTAATCGAATTCTTATGAGCTCATTATACAGAGTCTGTCTATAATTATCATCATTTGAGGCATATACAACGGTACTAAAGAAGGGTTGAATTCCCACCACCATAAATTGGATGAATTTATCTGAAAAATGTAGAACAGTGAGTTTGACATCCTTTTTCCAAAGTAACCAAATCTTATCCAATCCATATGCATTATGCTTAACCTTAGTCTCCCAATCTGGAAATCACTTCTCAAACAACTTTTCTGTCTTAGTGGCTCTTATTCTAGACTCAATAATAGCTGCTATATCTACACTATAGTTATTTTCTTTAATAATGTTGTATACTTACTATCTGCTTTGAATCCTCTCGTATTCCATGTAAGGATCTTCATCTTTTGCCTCTCCCCCTACCTCCTTTCCCTCCCTTTTTAGGGTGATAAGGAATGAAAGGAGAGTCCACCCATACTTTCTTACCCTTGTCTGGAGGTTTCACATTATCCTTACCCTTGTCAGAGCCAATTCTGTCACCCTAAGGTAGCTGAGAAGGTAAGCTCCTAGAAGCTGGTGACTTACCACTCTCAAAATTTTGCCTACTCGTGGAAGGACTCCCACCCAACGGTGATGATCCCCGTACTATTTGAGCAAAACTCAGAGGAGGAGTCCCAATTGAAGTAGGAGGCAGAAATTGGATGTTCCCTGAAGAAATCTCAGTCCCCATAATGACTTCTACAACTCCAATTACCTTATCAGTGATTAATACCTCATTATGCAACGCTGAATCCTCCAAAGCAATACACTCAGGGGAAGCTTGTCCACTCTCAACAGTGCTTTCTCAGGGATAACAACATCCTGCTAAATTTGCAATACTAAACTTTCCAAAGCGATAGCTTGTACACTTATAGTAGCAATGAAACTCTTAGGAAGAACATCTTGCTGATCAGCCACTATATCACCAAGATCAGTCTGCGCCTGCATAGTCCTATCAACCCCAAATATATCCACCTCTGAAATAGACTCTTTAACTCTCCACTGCCTTTTAAGGTTCTTGATGAAAATTATGCCCAAAAAGGCAGCACTTAGAGCAGACTCGGGGAAGTTGTGAATACTCGACTTCAATTTCAAAATCTGGATCATTGTCTGGATAGATATAGATTCTTGCTAGGAAATCGTAATCAGCTGCAAGCTCGATACATACCTTGGAAAACCCTAATTGATTGCCAAATCTAGTTTTTTTATCAGTCAAGAGCGGCCAACCTATTCTACTAGCAACCCATTCAATCCCATCCTAACCCAGATACTCAAGAGGCAAACCCCAGATGTTTAGCCATATTAGCAACGTCTCTACCTTCAGCACAATTGGTTCGATACTTGCTTCCCACTTTCAAAAGAAGATTAGATTACCCCTGAAATGCCAAGGCCCCGATTTGAAAACCCAATCACAAGACAAGATCAAAGGAAATTGAAATCCAAGAAGCTTTGGACCAAATCGTGAAACACGTACCACACCATCCCACCCCCAGAGACGGTTAGTCCAAGACTAGAGCTCCGCTACCTTTGGATGCTTCCTGATAAACTTATCGATGAGGGACATCTTCCATCGCCTATCGCCCTTCTCCTTAATCTCCTGTGGAATCCGAAACCCATCCTTGACTCTCTCCGAGGGACGATATGTAAGCCGCTTTTCAGGTGCCACAGAGAATGATTGAGCCCAAGAAGAACCCTCGCCAGCCGACAGCGATGCATCCATCGCGAGAGGGTTTTGGACGGAGAACGAAAATGAGAGATTTTTAATGAGCTTATGTAAGAAAAAAGTAGAGAGCCAACTATTTTTTAGTGAGCTGGTCCAACATTTCTTTCATTTAATGTCTACTCACTTTTCTCTGTCATATTTTTCCTTTCTTCCTCTCTCTTCATTTCAAAGATGAGAATATTGTTTGAATACTTTGAATACTTGTTCAATATCTATTAATACGTTCATTTGTGTGTAATATTTGGTCTAAAAAAGTGAATATTTGTTGAAAGCTTTTGAATATTGGTTCAACCCGTTTTAATACGTAGTCTAGGCGTCGAACCAATATTCAAAAGGACTGAAGAAGTATTCAAAGGCAATATTAGTTGGAAACTTTTGAATACTGGTTCGACTCTTTTGAAGGCGTCGAATGAGTATTCAAAAGTGCATTATCATCTGAGACTAATAGAGAGGAAGAAAGAGAAAAAATGAAAGAAAAGTGAGTGGGTCTATTAAATTGTGGGACCAGACTCTCTTTGAATCTTCTACATTTTTCCTACCTTATCTTTTTCCAAAACCAAGATATCTCAACCCTCCAATTTGGTTGGTGGGAGATGGAGGTCCATCTATACATGGGCGATGGGCCGTGCTTGGGCCGGCACGACACAGGCACACTTCGGGCCCATTTATTTCATGTAGTGCTTGGCACGGCCCGTCAGTTTTCGTGTCTTGCTATGCAAGCCCATTTGTTAACTTTGCTAGACCCGACCCAGACCCAGGCACGGTTCGAATCGTCTCTGTAACACCCCGACCTTTGAGTTTCGGTTCGACCATAATACGTGAACGGTGGGTTTAACGGGTATGTACGAAGAGTTTCAACCGGGGATTAGGAATAATAATAATAACTATTATTACTATTACTATTATTATTATATATAAAAAAACTCTAGGCATTTACTTTACCCCACTCGGCATCAAACACCGAATTCAAGTCAAGCAAATCCACTCACATAATAACAGAAGCCTTCTCTCTCAGGACCCATTCTCGAAATGGAAACCCTCGCAACCTTTTTACTTCTCCACTCGAAACCAACCTGCGCTCGGGGGCTGGGAAAATCAATACAGAGCAAAGCAAAGCAAAGCGGTTCCCCTCTACTACGAGACTCCTCTCCCTCTTAGTCCTCCCTATGGAGGATGGGTGTTAGTTCTCTCGGGAAACAGGCAGGAGGCGCCTTGTATGGACGATTGGGGGGAAACATTTATCGGGAAATCAAGGTGAGTCGCTCGTCTCGCCTCGGAGACCCTGGGTGCGGCGTCACTGTGCTCTCTTGAAACGAACGAAGAAATTGTCATGGATGTTGTAGTTGTGAGGGCTCTAATCCATGCTTTGCGAAGTTCCAGGATGAACGTTTCGATGGCGGCATGTAATACTATCTTGGATTTGTCGACTTCTTCTGCTGGAAGGCAGCGACTACTTGAGTTCTCTGCATTACAGTTCCTTATCCCCAAATGCTTGCAGATACATATTTCACCGACGGTGGTATCTCTGTTCTGCAATGGCAACACGAGGAGAAAGAGTAGCTTGGCATCGAGAGAAGACCAATATGCAGTCTCACTTCTACATGTCGTTATAACTTTAGTTAATGCATGTAATGTTGAGCAATTGGAAAGGTTCTGGGGGAAGGAGGAGGGCATCAATCGCAATTGGAAATTGGCTGTGGAATATTATGTAAGGTGATGAGCATGAACATGGATCTGAGGAGTAACCACTTCATATTGACTATGATGTGCAACCGTACAGCAAGGTGAGTGTAAAGGGGGTAAATTCTACGTCTTACGATTTTCAAGTATTTTCCTTGAGTATTTTCGAGTATTGAGTTACGTGACGTATGTGCAGTATTTAATTCATGTTTGAGATTGCATGATTATTGCTGATGATATGTGATTTTGTTTGAGCTATGTTTGATGTGAAGGTGCATGAGTTATTATTTAATTTAAAGCTTTACGTTTATAAATTATGGTTAAAGTTTAAGAAACAAGGCCTTTTTAAGAGGTAACTCAGCTTCAAGAAGGTGAGGTTGTTTTAAGTATTTTTAGTCACTAGCGCCAGTCCGTTGCCTGTGAGACATTTTGAGATAGAGCAGCAGTTATGCTCTTGAGACATTTAAGATGGGCAGCAGTTATGCCCTTGAGGATGGTGGTGAAGAGCCACCACGATAAGTTTAAGATGTTAGGGGGATGAATCGTTACGACTTCCCTAACTAAGTTTAAGTTAAGGAAAGCCTGGATGGCTTCTCATACGTATGAGTTGGCAACCGGACTAGCTAGTGAGGGATCCCCGTGTCAGTCAAGTATTTAAGTCAAACTTTGAGATTTAAGAATGAAGTAACGGTAACTCCCATACAGTTTTAAGAGTTAAGCTTTTCAATAGTGGAAGTACAAAACAACTTCCACACAGTTAAGTAAAGTGCTCAAGTTTTAATAAGATGTTAAACGTAAGGGCGTAGGATCTTCTTTTAAGAGTTTATAGAATCTCCAGTCTACTTTAATCATATTTAGGTAAATAACTATGACAGCACGGCACGAAGGGATGGTAGCCAGGGGGCGGTTGTTTAAGAATAGGCTGGGACACGATTTAGTTAGCAGGTTGTGGTACCTTAAATAAGAGATTGAGGCGGATGACAATCATCAGTATGAAAGGAAGGAAGCAAGAAATGTGGTCAACTCAAGTAGAACCTCAAGATACGTGGCAACCGAGGTGGAGTTTGTGAATGGGGTCAAATTAAGAACGGTTACAAAGGCTCTCAAGATCAAGTATCTCGTCGACATGATGGATAGTATTTGTGAATTAGTTGACCAACTACCAAAGAAAGAGTTGCAATCACCAAATGCCAGTAGCTATAATAATAGGAGGATGTCAGGGTCTTTGGTCCTGATCAATGGAAAGTGGGCAACGAGTCAACAAACAAAAAGGTACCCCTGGAAGCCATACAAATGGTCTTAGTGAACAACACGGTTACGACGCAATGACAAGAAGCAACGGAAAATTTAGACTCTAAGCAGTGCTAGGGTCGCATAAAGGAAGCAAAGGAGGAAATGAGTAGGTTACAGGGAGTATGAAAGGACTTCAAGAAGTCAAAAGGGTCAAGGCGGAGAGGAGGCATGGTCGTTTACATATAACGATAAAGGACCCTTATAGATAAACTATGTCACTAGATAAGAGGGTACATAGCCTTGGGAAGTTGGCGATGAAAACCCTTCAGAAGGAACAAGACAAGCAACAAGGTAAATTATGTAGAGGTTGAGGTTAGATCAGGCATGCTATACACCTGTCGAGCGCAAGCTAGAGGACAAAGTATGAGAAGGGGTTGAGAGACCCTGCAAATTACCATGATCAAGGAGAATCAGAAAATCGTGGAATTTCAAGGAATCCATTGGGAATGTCTAAAGTGGGAACTAGAGGGCCAAGAGCGAGAGTCTCGGAACCAGCCATAGGAGTAAATCATTCAATCAACAGGGTATAGACAAGCAAGTACAATGTTCATTAAAAGTTCTAATGAAAGTTGGAGAATATGAGGAAGAGTCTAAACGGTCGTAATGAAGAGAGTTTGCGAACAATACCGAGGAAGACCAAAAAGGCCAGAGGGAGTTTGACGAGATTTCAAGAAGTCAATGGGTCAAGCCTTAGGTGACTCGAGGTCAAGAAGCTGCACAAAGAGGTACGATGAGGGAAAGCATTACCAAGAAGGAGGGAATCATTAGGTTACCTTATCCAAGGTGCCCCACTCTGAGTGGGAACGACATAGTAGGATGTCATCCAGAGGAAGCGGCTAGTTAGGGATAAGTAAGACACGTCCAGTTAAGCCACTAAAAACCCAGATTAAGAGATCAAAGCCATATACAGGCATCAATCGAGACAAATGACGTGAATGAGGTATGTTAAAGCCTACAAAGGGAAACCCTCTATTGGAAGCTTTGAACCAAAACAATAATGAGAAGATACTCAAAGGAGGTTGGTGACCAAATATAGTACAAAACGAAAAATTCAGGGAGAAAGATAGTTAGGAAGAACCGGCGAAAGAATACGAAGGTCAACAAGGAGGCGTTAAGTTGATTGCAATCTAGAGAAAGATGCAAAGGATGCTTTTAATGCATACAGAAAGTTGAAGCAGCATTATGAGGTTTTGACGTTAAGCAAGAAGTAACGAAGAGATGACCCTTCAGTTTATGGTTAAAGGATAAGATGAAGTATCGAGGAAGAAAGTAAGAGATGCAAAGCTAGGAGATACAAGGACTTAGGTGACCGGTGTGTTCAACCATGGACGAGAATTACGTTAGAAGAGTTTGCAGTTAACAATATGATGTTAAGCCGCCATCAACAATCTTTGGGTTCAAAGTGGCATTACCTTCTTAGGTACCAAATGATGGAGATAGTGGATGCCCTAGGTACGTTCAAAGTACATAACCTATGTGAAGGAGGTAAGAAGCAGGAGATAACAGAGTAATACCGAGCAAGTTGAACGGTCACCTGGGATGTTACGTCATGGAGTTCGAGGAGGGTGAATCGTTAATCGTGAAAAAGAGAGCATTATAGGTCTAAATACTTGGAAATTATGAGACGATGTTGCTTAAGAAATTGTAAGGGTGGATCTTGAGAAACCGCGGTGAGCACAAGATGTTTTGAGTAAAGCACCACAACATCGAAGTCGTATATGGGTGGAGAATTTCATAGTTGTATCGAGCTAATAGCTAGCTAGGCAAGTCGTCTACGGGAAATGGTTGAACTACCAGTCTTCTATAATCACATCATATCGAAGGGAAGGATGTATAGCTCAGTGTCGCACACGTTAAGGAGGTACAATTCTTTGCAAATAGATTATCACAAGTATACTTGAGGTCATCACAAAGAACAAATTTCGAGGGCGAAATTTTCGTAAGTGGGGAGGAAATGTGATACCTCAATTTGGATCTAGATTAAACAACCAACTACTGAATGAGTTGGACCATGAATCATATCGAATCGAAACTTTGTTTAGCATGCGACCAGGCCAAGTTGCTTAGAATTAAAAGGGCAGTGAGTCACTCAAGTTATACAAGTGCTGCAAGCTAAAAGAGAGTACTTGTTATGGTCGAGAAGAGATATAAGAGGAGCAGTTTCATTATGCGAGGTGCGCAAGTAGCACCATGGAAGCAGATATAGTGAAAATAATTTTTGGGACAAGGGAGTTCAAGGCCAGTGTTAAGGGAGAGATGAGTTCCGAACAAATTTCGGGGATGAAATTTTTATAAGGGTCGAGGAAATGTAACACCCCGACCTTTGAGTTTCGGTTCGACCATAATACGTGAACGGTGGTTTTTAACGAGTATGTACGAAGAGTTGCAACCGGGGATTAGGAATAATAATAATAATAATAACTATTAGTATTATATATAAAAAAACCCTAGACATTTACTCTACCCCACTCGGCATCAAACACCGAATTCAGGTCAAGCAAATCCGCCCTCGTAATAACCAGAAGCCTTCCTTCTCAGGACCCATTCTAGAAATGGAAACCCTCGCAACCTTTTTACTTCTCCACCCGAAACCAACCTGCACTCGGGGGCTGGGGAAATCAATACAGAGCAAAGCAAAGCGGTTCCCCTCTACTACGAGACTCCTCTCCCTCTTAGTCCACCCTATGGAGGATGGGTGTTAGGGCTCTCGGAAAACAGGCAAGAGGCGTCTTGTATGGACGATTGGGGGAAGCAGCTATCGGGAAATCAAGGTGAGTCGCTCGTCTCGCCTCGGAGACCCTGGGTGCGGCGTCACTGTTCTCTCTTGAAACGAATGAAGAAATTGTCATGGGTGCTGTAGTTGTGAGGGCTCTAATCCATGCTTTGCGAAGTTCCAGGATGAAAGTTTCGATGGCGGCATGTAATGCTATCTTTGATTTGGCGACTTCTTCTGCTGGAAGGCATCGGCTACTTGAGTTCTCTGCATTACAGTTCCTTATCCCCAAATGCTTGCAGATACATATTTCACCGACGGTGGTATCTCTGTTGTGCAAGGGCAACACGAGGAGAAAGAGTAGCTTGGCATGGAGAGAAGACCAATATGCAGTCTCACTTCTACATGCCGTTATAACTTTAGTTAATGCATGTAATGTTGAGCAATTGGAAAGGTTTTGGGGGAAGGAGGAGGGCATCAATCGCAATTGGAAATTGGCTGTGGAATATTATGTAAGGTGATGAGCATGAACATGGCTCTGAGGAGTAACCACTTCATATTGACTGTGATGTGCAACCGTACAGTAAGGTGAGGGTAAAGTGGGTAAATTCTACGTCTTACGATTTTCAAGTATTTTCCTTGAGTATTTTCGAGTATTGAGTTACGTGACATATGTGCAGTATTTAATTCATGTTTGAGATTGCATGATTATTGCTGATGATATGTGATTTTGTTTGAGCTATGTTTGATGTGAAGGTGCATGAGTTATTATTTAATTTAAAGCTTTACGTTTATAAATTATGGTTAAAGTTTAAGAAACAAGGTCTTTTTAAGAGGTAACTCACCTTCAAGAAGGTGAGGTTGTTTTAAGTATTTTTGGTCACTAGCGCCAGTCCGTTGCCTGTGAGACATTTTGAGATAGAGCAGCAGTTATGCTCTTGAGACTTTTAAGATTGGCAGAAGTTATGCCCTTGAGGATCGTGGTGAAGAGTCACCACGATAAGTTTAAGATGTTAGGTGGATGAATCGTT